AGGTGCGAAAGACGGTTAGAAATAAGAAGTGAGGCTCAGTCTTTGGCACATCGTTTCAGCATTCGAGTAACAAAGAGTCTCTGTTGTCCTAAACAATTTCGCTCTGACTGGCACCACCTACAAATGCATTGGATGTCAGTGATATGAACAACCCCGTGGACCACTAAACCAATAGTGAAAACACCTATGGTGGTGGCCTAAATTGGCCGGAAACCGCCTTCACGGTTTTAGTCCACTCAGGAAGTTGCCAGTGAAGGAACAATCATAGAAAGGTGAAGGATTAGACAAAAATCTGAAAGGAGATGAGGTACTACATACGGTTATCACACAATTGCTGAAATGAGGAAGAGGTGGAGCACCTGGCAGAAAGCCAATCCTAGTGGGATTTCAGAGCAATGAAAACAAGGCTTTCACCACTGGCCATTTTCGAGCGGAGATAGCATTCCGTCTCACTTTCATAAACATGTTTATAGGGCAAATGCTGACAATAATTTGAAGCCTCGGACCTCAGTTGTTGAAAAATGGATATCGTTCGTATTCGTTCGCCCACAAATTGGTGGTTGTTTTCAAATAAATGCGTTTATTTCGAAGCGGGTGATATGTGAAAGCAGCGAGGATCCAATTAACTCATCAAGATAGTTGGTGAAATTTATGCAAACCTTCAAGAAGGAGCTGTTGTTCCGAGGTGGTTCAGGAAGATCACACGCAACATATAGTTCACCTAAGGATTCGTTCGCTTGTTCTGCGAGTTCTGCACAGATCGTATATTTTTCAACCTGGAAACTAGCAATTACTGTGGACTAAGAAAGGAGAAGTTCCCAACCCACATAACCATCAAACACACCTCCGATGGACTTGCCATATAAATGCCCAGACCGTGTTCGGAAAACGACATCTTTTGACATATTCTGAAACAAATACCATTATCGACTACACAGAAGGGAAGTACGCGCAAGCATCCAACCCAGCACAATTCCGGAATGGCCCGAGCAACCATTCCATACTAATAAGAGCGCGAAATGAAGAAATCACTCAGGTATGAGCCAGTATCTAATTAATGTGATAAGATGAGAAACTCACGGATCATCGATTTCTACTGAATGAGGCAAAAGCGGTGATTGATGAAGAACCCGTAGCGAAGGTAACGATAATACAACTATCTGAAATATTACAGAATTGCTGTATAAGGTAACCAACTGTGAGACAAATCGTACATTGCTGAGAACGAGACTAACACGCGCGTCGTTATGAAACGAACAGTCGTTTTATGCTGAATACGCAAGGATTACGGTATAGCCTCATACCCTTGTTGCTTGTACGTTACGCAGCTTCGACGCAGATTATCACCTCATGAATCAACTCCAAAATCAATGAGCTCAATGGTTTTGAATAGAAACTGGTTATAGGGTAGTTCCAAAAGAGCTTAATAATGGCGGGGGTACAACCCTCCATTTTCACATAGAACGTTCACGATAGCTCGGTAAAAAGTTCAGTGGTGAGAAATTCCGTTACTTCCTGTTCACACTTACAGTCAGAGAAGCAGTCAGTTGTTTTTCCCAGTATACTGCATGACTATTTCCATCACAAATTGAGCTTTTGAA